AGAATTCGGTTATTTCAAAATGGTTGCTCCCAGAGCTCTCGTTTTCCGACTGCTGGTCAAGGGGAACGAAAACTCTGGGAAAGAGATTGGACGTGTCAGTCGACGTGTCATAAAATCCGGCGGTTTACTGGCAACCCGGCATTTTTAACCTAGTGGTTATTTCGGGTTGCCAGAACCCTAATTCTTAGCAATATTTTATATATTTCTGTACTAATTAATGAAAAAAGGGTAATAAAGAGGATGTTGTTGGTTTAGACTGTCTGCGACGCAGGCTAGAATGTGAAAGAAATGAGAAATGAGAAATTGGCACAATGGACGAGCGCAGACTGGGTACAGCTAGTACCAGTCCTTTATGTCGCCTTTGGGCCATAAATGATGCAACTAAAAAACAAATGAAGTAAGTGACTCCATATCCCACTCAACCAATCTTGTTTTGAGACGTATTCTTCGTTTGTTTTTAATCTTCTTCAACGTGTGTTTAGCCCAGTCATTGCTTATTGTGGTGTTCACTTAGCTCAATTCAAGTTGGATTCGAAGAGAAAGGTGTGAAGATCGATTGCTGGTGATAAGTTTCGTTTTCTCGAATTCGATTGTACAGATGGCATTGCTTATTCATTCTGGAACCTTGTGGACGTTTGTTTTGTTTGGAAGTTTGTTTATTGCTACAGGTATGGCTGAAACTCCCGTTTTTTGCTTTCTAATTTAAGCGTCCAAATTGTAAGTTGAATTAGCGTTCATATCATGGCTACATGTGTGTAAGCTTACATCTGCTTACATGTAAGGTTATGTACTGAGGTGAATTTTTAATGTTTTAATCAGAAGTACTGAAAAGGCTTGCTATTTTCTCTTAGCTCCAGTCATTTTAATCGCCCGCTTGCTTTTTTTTGTGACAAAGATGTCCCTATTTCATGTAACCCAGTTCAAGATATCAGCAAAAGATTTGCTAATAGAGTTTGAGGCCCAGATCCTGTAGATCTGGTATTGTACAGTCCTGCAGCCTTTGCGGTACTGTACTGTATGGGGGAGTAGCTGATTAAGACGCTTGATGAATTGAGGGAATGGTCACTGGTGCATAGTCTTCAGTTGGCAACTTTCTTGTTTTTGTGTGTTTTTGTCTGTCTTGGAGTTTGAAGTTGCTTTCAGTCAAGGATTTTCAAACAAGGATGAAAGCATCCTGGGAAGTCTCTTGAGTTTTAAATTCTCCTTTTCACCTCATAAGGCACCATAAGCTCTCCACTGAAGAAGCTGTGAAGAACTCAGCTGACATAACTTAATAATGTGATATTGATTGCAACTTACAAGCTCATTATCATATATTTGCAGCCTTGGGTTGGGGCAGAGATGACAAGATACGACTGACAGATGTTAGTGTCGTTACATTGCATTATGGAAAAA